GAAATCCTATGTAGCAGGCATCCTCAAACTATGGCCCGCGGGCCACATGCGGCCCACCGAGGACATTTATCCGGCCCGCTGGGTGTTTTTGCCCCGTTTGTTTTTTTACTTCAAAGTAAGATATGTGCAGTGTGCATAGGAATTTGTTCCTAGTTTTTTTTAAAAAAAACTATAGTCCGGCTCTCCAATGGCTCTGAGGGACAGTGAACTGACCCCCTGTTTAAAAAGTTTGAGGACCCCTGCTATATAGGGTTTCGATGAACAGGCATTGGCTCGGTGGCAGTGGGTTTTACTATGAGTCCAAAGGAGCCCAGATGGCACAGTGGGCTAAGTGTTGGGCTACTAATGGAAAGGTCAGTGGTTTGAGCCCGCCAGCTGCTCTGCAGAAGAAAGAGGCTGCAGTCTGCTGCCATCAAGAGTTTCCGCCTCGACAGCCCGATAGAGCAGTTTGATTTTGTGCTGCAGGGTCACTAAAGAGCCCTGGTGACATCGTGGATGACTTGTTGGGTTGCCCACTGCAGGGTCAGCAGTTCGAAACCACCAGTTGCTACCCATGAGAAAGATGAAGCTTTGTTACAGCCTCAGAAGCCCCCAGGGACAGTTCTACTCTGACTTACAGGGTCGTTACCAGTTCACACGAACTCTGTGGTGGTGTGTTCAACTCGAAGGCACCCAATAGCCACCACGGCAAGCAGGTGTTAGAGAACTCTGCGATGGACAAGACAGATGTCCATGCCCCTGAGGCATTTTCCTTTTAGCAGCGTTAAGTCCGAGCCCCAGCTGGTCCTGAGACAGCTCCTCCTCACCCTCAGGGGCAAGGGCCTCGAGCCAGCAGCCTGGTGGGTGGAACTTAAGTTATATGCTGCCAGCTTTTGAGCATCTACTAAGTGCTGAGCCTGGTGGACACTGGATGAAGATCCCGGTCCTTGTGAGGTGAACATGAGGACGTGGGAGGTCAGCAAGGGCAGACTCTTCTCTCCTATCTGCCCCAGACTTCCTGGTTAACCCTGCCAGGCCTCGTTTTCCTTTCCTCCAAAAGAGGAAGGCAGCAAGTGTCTTTTGGCATTGTCCCCAAGAAACACCTTTACATGGGCCCAAGACCACAGACTCAGAACGCTACCCCAAGCATAGTTCATCATTGTGAACACCTGGGAACACCTGAAGGCCCACTCACAGGGGCACGAGAAACCAGCATGGGTGGGCACAGGCTTGGACCCTCCCGCAGCCGTTAAAAACAGTGGGTCTTGCACCTCTTAGCATGGATAGATCCTGACAATTTAATGATGCCAAGGAAAGGAAGGAGGGATGGGAGGGAGGGAGGAGAGAAAGAAAGAGTAACCGCAGGGGAGTCTTGCAGTTAGAGAATGCCTTTGTGGAGTGTAAGAAAGACCTACACTTGACTACGTCAAAAAGTACCACTACAACATCATAGGTACCTTTGTTCAACAAGACGGGGTGCTGTTGTTTCTCCATGCATCCTCCATCAAGGTTTCTACACTTCTGAAGGTGCCCTTGTCCTTTGCTGAAGAAATCTGCTCTATTCGATGCATATGTCAAAACCGCGATTTTGGCATACTTAAGGGATTGAAGAGGAGTCCTGGTAGCATAGGGGGTTACGCACTGGGCCGTGAATCACAAAGTCTGCAGTTCAAAGCCACCAGCCACTCCCTGAGAAAAGGAGGAGGCCTTCTACTCCCATAAAGATCTACCGTCTTGCCAACCAACAGGGGCAGTTCTGCTCTGACCTCCGGGGAAGCTGGATGTCGAAATTGATGGCAGTGAGTTTGTTTAAAGAAGGGCTGCCATGTTCCTTTCAGTGTTTTTTGAGCTACGGAACAAAAAGAAGCTGTAGGGCTGTAGGGTGGCGGGTGAGGTACGGTCTCCTAAGGACAGCCCTGGCCACCCTTGAGGAATGAGCAGGCGCATAGTTATGATGGGAAGGATTTCCTCGACTCAAGTTCTTAATTCAACTTTTAATTTCCTCAAGACTTCTTCCTAACAAGCCCCTGTGATTGTCCCATGTTCTTCTATTAAATCTATCATGATCCCCTCCCTTTGGGATCCCTCTCCCCAAAACAGTCACATCGACTTTTGAGCTGACCTCTCTGTCTTGAATCTAACTGGCCGAGCAGAGCCCTTGGGAAGCCATGGTTTGGGATGAACTGTTTTGGAAGGCACTCTGACAAGATTAAGACAAATGTGCAGCGGAGAGAACTTTTCTGCCGCCACCCATTGATCACAAAGACCTACTTAAAGCTGCACATAGGTGAGTGAGGGGGAGTGCAGATTGGGGACCCAAGATCCATCTGTAGGCAACTGGAAATCCCCTTACAGAAGGGCTGCGGGGAGGAAATGAGCCAGTCAGGGTGCAGTGTAGCAATGATGAAACATATAACTTTCCTCTAGTTCCTAAATGCTTTCTCACCCTCATCCCACTATGATGATCCCAATTCTACCCTACAAATCTAGCTAGACCAGAGGATGTACACTGGTACAGAGAGGAACTGGAAACACAGGGAATCCAGGACAGATGAACCCTTCAGGACCAGTGGTGAGAGTGGTGATACCGGGAGGGTGGAGGAAGGTTGGGATGGAAAGGGGGGACCAATTACAAAGATCTACATATAACCTCCTCCCTGGGGGATGGACAACAGAAAAGTGGGTGAAGGGAGACGTTGGACAGGGAAAAATATGACAAAATAATAATAATTTATAAATTATCAAGGGTTCATGAGGGAGGAGGGAGTGGGAGGAAGAGGAAAAAATGAGGAGCTGATACCAAGGGCTAAGTAGAAAGCAAATATTTTGAGAACAATGATGGCAAAAAAATGTACAAATGTGCTTGACACAATGGATGTATGTATGGATTGTGATAAAAGTTATACGAGCCCCAAATAAAATGATTAAACAACAATAACAACAACAACAACAACAAAAAGCTGCACATAGACGGACCAGAAGCCTAGGAGCAATACTTGATCCAAAACTCTCTACTCTCGCCAGTCGATGCCGACTCACAGCAACCCTACAGGACAGGGTAGAACTGCCCCTGTGAGAAAGCCCCATCTGCCTCCCATGGAGCGGTTGGTGGTTTTGAACTCCTGACCTTGCAGTTAGCAGCCCAACGCATAGCCCACGACACCACTGAGGCTCCTAGCAATATTTTGCTCCCCCTCACATATGCAGTCAACATGGATTTATTGTGGCAATTGGCTTGGGAGGAAGAGAGAACTGAGAAGGAGACCAGTGGGAGGGCTCACAATTGTGACTTTATTATTTTTTAATCATTTTATTAGGGGCTCATACAACTCTTATCACAATCCATGCATACATCAATTGTGTAAAGCACATTTGTACATTCATTGCCCTGGTCATTCTCAAAACATTTGCTCTCCACTTAAGCCCCTGGCGTGATTTTATTTTTTGAACTCTGAAGCCAGCATGAGGAAAAAATGCCAACATTTATTAATTCTCGGCAGTGATTCCCTGAGATATTAATATATTGGTCTCTTTACTTTTCTTCATTAAAATAAAAACTCGTGAGTGTGAAGAGAAAGCCATGGCCTCTGGGAATGGCTATTGATCAAGACCTTTCTCTCAGCCAGCCCTTAGAGCAGGGTTCTCCAAGAGTGGTCCCCAGGCCAGCAGCACCTGGGCATGCACATTCTGAGGGACCCCAGACGACTCAATCACCACTTCTGGGATGGGAGCCAGCACAGTGGTGCTGAGGTCTTAGCAAAGTTTGAGAACCACCGGCTGCAATTTTATGAGCAATGGCTAAACCAATCATGAGGGGGGTCAAGTGCATCCTCCCTCAGAGTGGCCCCCCCTCCCCCATCACAGCAGAATTTGCCACACAGGGTGGTCAGTGGTCTTTTGTGTGCTTGGTGTTTTCTTCTCCCTCAAAAGTAGACGCCAGGCTTTTCTTCTGAGCTGCCTCCGAATGGATTTCGGTTAGCAGTGGGGCCTGTTCACCATCTGCACCTCCCAGGGGTTCCCGGCTATGCCAATGAAGAAATCAAGTTCTGACACCTGCCAGGCAATCGGCACCAGCTTTTCTCGTCATCTTTCAACTCAATCCTCCCCTACCACCCTGGAATGGAGCCTTTAGTATAGCTGTCCCCTGGAAACTCAGGCTCCGAAAGGCCAACACCATTGCCCAAGGTCCAGCATCCAGCCTGGGCGCCCCCACCCTCCTCCCTTTAACCACTATGCTCACTGCCTTAAAACAGTCTCTTTTTAAGAGGCCACATGTCCTTCCTATGGGCTCTGACAAACTCTAGCCACTGCCACCTTCCAGGAAGGCACTGACAGCCCCATTTGAGGAGGAGGAGACTGGGATTCAGAGTAAATGATGTGATTTGCCCAAGAGCTCACAGAGAAAAGTGATGGTCGCTGGTGTGTTCAGGAGGGTTTTGTGGGAGGGGGCGGGGGGCATGTTGGTTGGCTCAGACCTGATGGGAGTCTCAGTCCAGCCAAGCAGGGAGAGGGCCCACGGTGAGTAGGCCCAGCTGCTACCGGGCCTGGGGCCTGGGTGTGTCTCTAGTTTACACCTCCCCCAGCTGCCCCCTTCCCCTGCCAGCCTGAGTGAGGAACCTCGACCAGCTGCCAGCTCTGTGGCCTGTCACCACCCCCACCTCAAGGTCCCTCCCCCCTCCCCTCCTGCTGCTGCGGGAGCCCCATCCTTCTCGTTTTTTTTTTGTTTTTTTTTCAGAAGGGGAACCTTCATGGCCGGAGAAGTGACAGCTCGTCATGAAGTCACTCAGCCATTCCGAGCGTCCCCACCCTCGGGCTACCCCAGGCTCCAGCTGGTCCGCGACAGTTCCTCCCTCACCTGGGCATCTTCTGGTCCCCGTCGGTCCCCCCAGCCCTCGCCCCACTGCCCGCGACGCCAGTCCCGCCCGAGAGCATGGGCCCCCTCCGCGGCCGGCCGAGGTCTCCTTGCGGAGCGTCCCGGCCCCGCGCCCCCAACGGCCTCCCGCCGGGGCCGCGGCACTCACCTGGGCTCCCGCTCCTGGTCTCGCGGGCAGCCCGGATCCTCGCAGCTCGGACGCGCCCCCAGCTCAGCCACTCCCGGGGCGCCGGAGCCTGCAGGGCAATGGAATGAGTTTCTCGAAGAAGGTGCCGGGCGGCCGCTCGGAGGGGCTGGGGGGCAGCGGGCAGCCTGGGTCCGGTCTGCTGAACCGCTCGGCCCCTCCCACTCGTCTCTAAGCCGGGGCGGAACGCGGGGGCTGGAACCTGGGACGTGGTGGCGGCCACAGGCCCACTGGGTACCTTAGCCCCGCCCCGGCCGCGTTGGCCACGCCCCCAAAGGGTCCAGCCCCTCCCCCCCAATTCTAACCGCAGGGGATCCTAACCTCAGTCCATTCCTCCCAGCATCTGGAATTTTTTATTCCACCCCGCCGGCCCCATGCATTTTACACGTCCCTTAAGGATGCTAACCCCGCCTCCAAGGACCTAACCGATCCCCCTCTCTGCTACAGTAACCTAACACCGGACCCTAATGTGTTCGAATCCCGCCTCCCAAGGAACCGGACTCAGTCCCAGAAAGATCCTCAACCCTGCCCCCAAGCTCCAAACCTCAAACTCACTGCCCTGGAGTCAATGCCGACTCAGAGATCCTAGAGACAGTGAACTGCCCCTGTGGGTTCCCCAGACCGTAACTCTCTGTGGGTCGGAAAAGCCGCATCCTTCTCCCGCGGAGCTGATGGTGAGTTAGAACTGATAATCCACTACGCCACCGACTGGTAACTGGTAACGCCACTACGCCCTAGCCATCGAGTCGATGCCAAATCATAGTGAACCTATAGGACAGGGCAGAATTGCCCCTGTGGGTTTCTGAGACTGACTCTTTACGGGTAGAAAGAGTAGAGGAGAACGCCCCATCGGTTCCCCCGCAGAGCGGCTGGTAGTTTCGAACTGTTGACCTTGCAGTTTACAGCCCAACTCTAACCATCACACAACCAGGCTCCTAAAAACCTGCCCCTAGAGAACCCTATAGGCAGCAATGTGTCAGCGCTGACTCAATTACAATGTTTTTTTGTTTTTGTTTGGTTTTTGTCTGAGAGCGTACTCATAGTGTTCCTGCCTCTTAAAATTCTAAGGGGCTGCCAAGGATTTTTAACCCCACTTCTGGTGGCATAGTGGCTATGAGTTGGGCTGGGATCTGCAAGGACAGCAGTTCGAAACTACCAGCCACTCTGCAGGAGACAAACGAGGATTTCTACTCCCATAAAGAGTTATAGTCTCAGAAACTCATAGGGCCAGTTCTACCCTACCCTATAGGGTCACTACGAGTCCGCATCTACTCAATGGCAATGGGCTTGGTTGGTGGTGTAGTGGGTTACCAGTTCTACCGGCATCAACTCCGTTTGATGCATAAAACCTCACCCATCAGAAATTCAAAGGAATCTGGTGGCACAGCAGTTAAGTGCTCGACTGCCAACCAAAAGGCCTGTGGTTTGCACCCAGCAGCCATTCCATGGGAGAAAGATGTGGCAGTCCGCTTCTGCCCACCCCCCCCAACTTTTTTTTTCTTCAGGGAAGAGTGCGAACGCAGTCTCCCACTACCACAAATGATGCAGTCGAGTTTCCCACATTTGGGGAAATCGCAGGGGTCAGCACATCCGGAGTGCAATGGATAAGCCTCGCCCTGGGAAAACCTCCTTCATGATCATGGTGTCTCCCCTGCCAGGGAAGTATCAATGGGTTTGTTTTTTCAGGCACCAGAGATTTCTACTCCTGTCTCCCCCAAGATGTGAATTTCTCCCTTTAAATTGTTCTAACTTTGCCGTCTTGATTGTTGTCCCTAACCCCAGGGATTCTTGTGTGGCTCTTGAGCCTCACTCCCAGTCCACTTCCCAGGGATTCTAACTCACCTATCAAAGAACTCCATATCAGCCCCAAGGGTCCTCACCTCAGCTCTCCCAGAAGGATTCTAACCCATACCCCCATCCTCCCTTCCCTACCTTCTACCCACTAGGGAATCTAACTCAGCCCCACTCCCCTCTTAAGATCCTAACTTCATTCTCTGTCTTCCCTCCCCCATGGCTTCCAACCTACCTCACCCTCCCAGGCTTCCAACCCCTCCTCTGGAATCCCGAAGTGCCAGCCACCTCTCACTCCCCTCTTCCTCCAGCCGTCCAGCCCGGGCCTCTCCCCTATGCTGGTCCCAGGGCTTCCCGGACCTTCTGCGGTCAGTGGTTTCCCCTCCAAGGGCCCTGGGCTATTCAAACACCATGCAAAGTTCCCCTCCTGCAAGAACCACCCTGGCTGGTTCCTGCTGGCGACTCAGAAGGCTTTTGGTGTGGGGCAGGGGCTGCAGGAGGTCGAAGATGCCAGAGAAAGACACGGCACAGCAACCCCTGGAAAAGAGACGGGCTGTCACCCTAAATTCTGCCTGGCACAATTTTAAAGTGCACTGTGAGTCATGGTCTCAGAAACCCACCAGGGCAGTTCTCCCCTGGCCTATAGGACCCCCCTGAGGTGGAGATGACTCCATAGCAGAGTTTGCGTGTTTCTGATGGAGCCCTGGGGGCTTGGTGGGCTATTAAGCACAAAGCTAGAGATTTGAACCTATGGGTACTCCATCTGAGAAAGAAGAGGCTGTCAGCTCCCATAAAGATTTACAGCCGGGGAAACCCACAGGCGAATTCTATCGGGCCCTATAGGGCCTTCCTGAGTCAGAGCAGACTCAAGGACGGCGAGTTTGGTTTCCGTTTTGGTATCTTCCGATTCCACTGCCACAAGCCGGTTCCAGCCACCAGCATCGCGCCTTTCTTCCTTCATTCACCGAGCAGTCCTGTACAGGGATGTGGGATGTACACAGAACTTCTACAACTCTGGGCGTTAGCACCACGCGTTTTTGTGGTGTACGTGGGCTAGCATGTGTGTTGCAGGATTTTTAGCAGCCTTGCTGACCTCCACCCACCATATCCACCACCTGTCTGCTGTATCAACAACCCACACTCGTGGAAGCCACCGTCAAGCAATCAAATGATGAATGGGCACATCTGCTACAAAAGACCTCTTGAAAGTGTTTGCAAGCAAAGACGTCCCTCGGAGGGCCGGGCTGGACCCGAGCATCGGCAGTCTCCAACTGCCCCACATGCATGCAAAAAGCTGCAAGGAGAAGGGAGGACAGGAGAAGAAGTGAGGAGTTCCCATTGAGGTATAGGTGAAGAACAAAACAAACCCTCAAAAACCAAAAAAAACAACAACCCCCAAACCCTCTATCACAGCGTTACTGCTTTGCGTGCCGCGTGGCTGAAGGCACCTGGGTTCAGTGCTTCTAGCGAGCGTCATTTATAATCTCCACATCTTATTTATCCATCCCCCTAGTCATAAACACCCAGATTACACCCAATTCCCACAAACACACAATAAAAGGCCACACTAGACATTCTCACGTACATTCCCGAAGGGATCCGGGTGAGGATTTTGTGAAGAGTTGCTTTTGCCGAGCCTGGTGGATACTTGCGGAACGACTGCACCCCAACATCTCTCTCCCCAAGAATTCCCCCAATTATCTTCACTAACTTCTGTTACCATCCACTGGTCTTGATTTAAATCCCAGAAGCAAGTTTTTGGCAAGGATTCAAGTAAAAGTCGTTTTATTTGGGAGACACGGGTAACACTGGGAGAAGAATGGGTGAATGAGACAAGGGAGCCAATCAAGGCAGCGTTATCAAACAAGCTGCCATGATTTCAAACCAAGACGGTAACCAACGACTACAATGTCCATCAAGTAAGTGACCACTGTGAGCAACTGGAGCTCAATCCTGCTGGGAAAGTCAGAGAGACAGTGTGGACACCCACTGGAGAGTTATCCTTCCCCAGAGATGACAGAACCGGGACCTTTAGCCACCAACTCGTGTCAGACAATGACTGAGGGCTACTCCCAGAGAGGATGCCGGCTGCCAGACAGAGCATCCCCGAGAGATGCAGGTCCTGGTCAAGGCCAAGGGGACATGGGAAGAACCTTGCGAGCATCTATTGGTCTTATATAGATGTTTACATCAATGCATATTGCATGCTGTCTTTTGTGTCTGCCTTCTGTTGAGATTCGTATATGTTCCCAGAGTTTATGCCTGTTCACTGCTGAGTAGTATTTCATAGAATCAATGGATCGCTTTGTGTTCCATTTCACTTGTTGATAGACGTGTAGGCTGTTTTTGGTGTTCGGCTATGTGAATAAGCTGCTGTGAATGTTCATTGACAAGCCTCTGTTTGGACACATGTTCATTTCTCTGGGGTAAATGTTTAAGAGTAGAATTGCTGGGTTATGTAGCAAGTCTATGCTAAATTTTACATCAAACTGCTAAATTAGTTTTCTACACTTGATCTTAGCCACAAGGCTGAGAAGTGATTCATTTTCAAAGAAAGCATAGTATTTTGCATTCCTACTAACGATCTATGATTTCCAGTGGCTCCACATTCTGGCCAACATTTGGCGTGATCATTCTTTCTAATTAAAACAATGTATATAGTCCTACCTAGTCCTCGCTGTTGTTTGTTAGGCACATTGCATTGGTTTTGACTCAGAGTAACTCTCTGTACAGGAGAGCAGCACGCTGCGCTGTCCCGAGTCACCCTCACAATCGGTCCTGTTTGGACTCGATGTTGCAGCCACTGACTTACTCCCTCTCGCTGAGGTGCCTCGTCTTTGTCACGCACCCTCTACCAAGCATGAAGTCCTTCTTCAGGGACTGCTCTCTTCTGTTGGATGTCCAAAGTACATGAGATGAAGTCTCACGCTTGCCTCTGTGGGGAGCGAATTCTTTTGAAAGTGGGATGGAAGGAATCTTGGACCAAGGGTTATGCTTTTGCTGGATTCAGAGAGCTGAATGGGTCTTGTGGAAGCCAATTCTGGACCAGGAGTCGGTGGGTCCACATGCTGGGGCTCCTCCCACCCCCTGGGTATGTAGCTGCTCCCCAGGCCGGAGCTGCTCTTGATGAGTTGGCCAACAAGCGTTTCTTCAGCAGCTAATGGGTGGTGAGTTGGGAATACATACGGTCCCGGACCTCAAGAAGCTTTCAGCTCAGGGGAGAGCTTTGAACACATAGCTACACAAGGAAGAGGGTGGCCA